CTGCGGACTTGTTTGGAGCGCGATTTGAACGCCCGGCGCCACCTCAGCTGCCCCGGCTCGCGGGGGTTGGGTGGGGGTGACCGTCCCTGCAGTTGGCAACATTTGGCCTAAGCGTGACCTGTTCGCCTCCCAGAAGAGCTCCATACCCTGGGTTCCTACTGGGATCGGGAGCCTCCTCCAACCCTTTTTTGAGAGCCGTGCTGGGAGACTGCGGCCAGCTCTTCCTCCCCGCAACTGCGTGGTGTTGATTTAGCAGTTTCCCCAGATGAGAGTCAGGCTGGAGCTTGGGGGGGGTGGCGGCCCGCTCTGCAGCTGTCACCCCCCCAACGGAAATTGTCCTCTCTCCTGGGAGAGGGGGTGACAGTTTGATTTTTGCCCTGGGAGGGAGTGGGAACAGCTGAGAGAGGTTGGCCTCTGAGTTCTCAGTCGGCCCTGGGACTTGGTAGATCCTCCCCCATCCGTTCTGGCAGGATCTGGGACTCTCCTAGGGAAGCCCCTAGCCAGCCTTGCGCCTCCCTCTGGCATGCCACCTCCTCTTCTAGGTGAGGGCAGAGGTTCTTATGTAGAAGGCAGACCCTTGGCTGGCTGTTCATTGGTGCCTTATTTATGTGTGTGTTTGGGTCGGGCAGTTTTCCCGGCTCAGCAGGTGACCCTGGCCTGGGCCTCCTATCTCCCGCGACAGAGGCTGTTGACTTACCCGAGGGCCAGCGGCCTCCTCTTTATCACGTGAGGCCTGGAATGTCCACCCGGCCGGGCTGGGCGGGGTGGGGGAAGGGATGGGGAAGATTGTGCATCCAGGGCTCAGGCCCACACAGGGTACAACACACGAATTATTTTCTGTACTCTTCTGTGTTCCAAGGGCGGCCACTGTATGACCCTCAACGTTTGCTGCCTCTTTCCACCTCTTTGCCTGCCTTCTACCCATTTGGCATATGTGAATCTGAGTCCTATAGGCCTGTGGGAGCAGGGTTGCATCTGGTTAAGAACTAAGTCCCACTTTCTCTAGGACAACCCAACTTTTGGGAGGAGCTATTGGAGATGGGGAGGGTCACATCCTAGGAGGGGAGAGAGGGATGCGGGTGTGACTGAGATCAGCTGATTTTCAGGGGTGCAGGGTGGGCTAGATGAATGGGAGGATATAGGTGAGCCAGACCCCGATCTGCTTTCCTAGAGTCCCTTGTATAGCGGCGCAACCATTTATTCAGAACTAAGTTCCAAGCGTGTTGCAGTGGAGCCAGACTTAACCGGCCAAGGACAGGGAAGGATCACTTACAGTCATTTGTATGGCCCTCTACTTACATGTAGTTCACTTATTCATTGGCCTGATATGTAAATACTGCACATCTACCTGTGTATCAATTCCCACTGTTCTAGGAATGGCGGAATCACTGCCCCTGCTCTGGAGGCAGGCCCGAGGCAGAAGCCCCGCCCCTTTCCCACCTCCTGGGGCCCTGATTGGGCCCCCTCCTTTTGCGTCTCTTACCCCTACCACTTGGTCCCATCCTCGCCTTGTGCGTGTAGTGGTATATCTGTGTGTGAATTGTCCTTGATTAAGTGTATTAATAGTTAAACTCTCACTCATAGCTGGAACTCACCAGACCACAAAAAAACCTCCCCCGTTACTCACGCGCTGCTGCCCAACAAGAATATCCCACTAAAGTTTTTTTCTGCTTTCTCTTACTTCCCCTTCACTGTCTGCCTACCCCCAGGGCTGAGCCCACCCTCCCAGACCGCTAGCAGTGAGAGAGGACGGCCCCTCAAAGGCCAGGAATCCCCAACCCTCCACCTGCCTGCTAAAGCCAGAGGCAATGTCAGCTGACAGATGAGGCTCTGTGGCACTAGTCCGTTGGTCTGTGATGTAGGAATCTGATTGTGCTTGTGCTCATGATTACAGCATGTGGGCCTAAGTCGAATGCTGTATCTATATTTGTGAATCTAGTGTTGAATGTGTCTGTCTCAGGGTATGGAAGTCTGGCGTGCTTGGACTTGTGAATAGGGGCATGTGTAGGTGCATTGTATATGTATATATCCGAGGTTGTGTATCTGAAAGTTGGGTATGTCCCTGTGAATCAGGGAATGTATATGTTTTATTTTATTTTTATTTATTTATTTATTTTATTTTTTGTGTGTGATACCAGGGATTGAACTCAGGATTTTGCACATGCAGGGCAGGCATGGTGCCACTGAGCTAAGTCCCAGGCCCTGGAAATGTATATATTCTGTGCATTGTTTGTGCCCAGGATCTTAGAGAGTTTGTATGTATCTGTGTTTTGGGTGTGCTTGTAAATCTAGGAGTGTCTGAGTCCCCAGCTGATGTGTATCTGGACTGTGAATGTGTGGACATAGGGCTGGACTATCTAAGCTGTGTAGGCAGTGGTCTGTGTCTTCAGTGGCTGGTAGCTTCACGTTCCTTTCCCTTTATGTAGCTCTCGTCTGCTGGTCTTTCTGTTTCTTCCTTGTGGTTGTTTGAGGTCATGGCGCGCGCGCGCGTGTGCGTGTGTGTGTGTGTGTGTGTGTGTGTGTGTGTGTGTGTGTGACATCAAACCTCTTCCACCCAGTCCACCCCCCTTTCCTCCCAGCAGTAACTGGGCAGCCTCCCTGTCTGCCTGCCTGCTGGGAGTTTTGGAAGCCTCAGAGGGAGACAGGCTGGGGCCGGGGTGACAGCGCGTATCCACGGCGATGGCAGCCTGTGATTACGGGAATAAAAGGATTTTAAGGTCATGGGTGTTTTTTATGCCCCCCCTTTGGTGGAGCCAGTGGCAGCAAAGAGCCATAGCTATGTGTCTGCAGGTTGGAAAGTCTGCGCCTGTGCAGGTGAGTGTGGCTGAGAGGCTTAGTGGGGAGCTTGAATATATGTGTATGCGTGAACAGAGCCTGGGAGAGCCCATGTGCCTGTCTGCCTGCTTTTCATGTGAGAGCCCATGTTGCTGTCATTTTTCTCCTGGAAGAGAATTCCCAGTAAAACTTCTGGCTTCTGGGTGTCACATACACCTGGAACCCCGTAGTCCTCTGTATACTGAGGAGAGCAGTCAAGCCCTAACCCATTGCTCACCGCCCCCTCCCAGTCAAGTGTCTCTGGCCAGAGACTGGCTGGGCCCAGTCACCTGGGCAAGGCCACATCTCAGGGTGTTGGTGCCCCTGGCCCAGCTCCAGCCCCTGTAATTGCATTCTGCTGCCTAATCCCCCGCCAGCTCAATTAGATCGCAAATTCTTCTTCATTTCCTGCCTCTGATGCTGGCCTCCCTCTGGGCTAGCAGGGACTAGAAGGGAGGGGGATCCTGACCCTCCTTCCACCAGCGCTGGATGCCTTGCTCTTGCTACACTGACCCTGGAGCCCAGGGTGGAACTCTGGAGGCCAACAGATCTCCCCTTGCCCTTTCTTAATCAGTCTTCTAATACCCATGCTGGTGGAGGGACCCGTGACACCTGGTACCGGGGCTCTGGGTAGACCAGTCAGATCATTCCAGCCAAGAACCTAGGCTGCACCCATACTTGGGGTCCCTGTAGGGACCACCTCCTCCTGCTCCCAAAACAGTTGCCAGCCACCCCCCAGCACAGCAGTTGTGACCTTGTCATTGACCTTTTCTTGATGTCAATTTTAAGAGCCAGTCTGTCCGACCACTCCTATTGGCCTCTGATGCTCTCCCTTGACCTCTCTCCATTAAGGCCTGCTTCAAAGCCAGACTCTGTCACTGTCTGTATCTGCATTAGAATAGATAGACACATTGTATTATCTGTGCAAACCTCAGTTTACTCTTCTCTGCAATGGATCAATAAGAATGACTGCCTTAACCAGGTGTGGTGGCACATGCCTATAATCTCAGCATTCCAGGAGGCTGAGGCAGGAGGATTGAAAGTCAAGGACAGCCTGGGCTACATAGTAAGACTTGGTTTCAAAAAACAAAACCAGAAAGAAAGAAAAGAAAAAGCTGGGCATGGTGGCACATGCCTGTAATCCCAGCACTGAGGAGGCTGACATAGGAGGATTGTCTCAAGTTGAAGCCAGCCTGGGCCACATAGTGAGTTCAGGGCCAGCCTGGACTACATAGTGAGACACTGTCTCAAAAAGGGGGAAAAATGGCTGCCACACAAGACCATTGTCAGGTGAGCACAGATGTGGTTGCACAGTGCCCTGCTCAAGAGTAGTTTGCCCACAGTCATCGTTTAATAAGATTTGCCTTGGCTGGGTGTGTTGCTACAAGCCTTAGTTCCAGCGTGTAGGAGGCTGAGACAGGAGGATCACAAGTTCCAGGCCAGTCCAGGCTACATAGGGAGGAAGACCCTGTCTGAGAAAAAGAGGGAGAGGTATGGCTTTTATCTAATGAGAATTTGGGATCTCCCAGTGAATAGGAGGAAGAGCGCAGAGTTTATCCTTAGCTTTTCTGCTCATCTTGTTAATTAGCAGGGATGGGACCTTGGGCACATTGCTTCTCTAGTTTCTCTTCCCCATCTGTGAAATGGGCCTGATAAGAAGTGACTTTAGAGGCTGGGGATTTAGCTCAGTGGCACCACGCCTGCCTCGCAAGCACA